ATTATTCTCCACTGCTGCTCTGCCATGGTGAGGCCATATTCAGAGTACTGTGTCCAGTTTCGGTCTTCCCAGTTCAAGAAAGATGGGGAACTTCTAGAGAAAGTCCAATGAGGGACACAAAGATGACTAGGCGCCTGTAGCATCTTCTTTATGAGGAAAGGCTGAGAGACCTGGCTCTGTTCAGCCTGGAGAAGACTGAAGGGAGATCTTATCAGTGCCTATATATGTCTACAGGGCAGGAATCAAGAGGATAGGGTCAGTCCCTTTTCAGTGGTGCCCAGTGACAGAAAAGGGGGTAATGGGCTAAAACAGTAACACAAGAAGATCCATAGGAAAAACGTCTTTACTGTGAGGGTGACAGTGCACTGGAACAAGCCGCTCAGAGGTGCTGTGGAGTCTCCTCTGGAGATATTCTAAACTCTCCCTAGCACTCTTCTGTGTAACCTACTCTGGGGAATCTGCTTTAGCACTGGACTAGATCATCTGCAGAGGTCTCTTCCAACCCCTGTGATCCCATGAGAAAAGAAAGCAAAGAAAAAAGGGAATGGATGAATGTATTGATTTTCATCCACTTCTTGAAGGAAAAGTAACAGATTTCACTTTTTTAAATAAGTGAAAAGTTTGTATAGGGAGCAACACATCAAAACACTCCTTTTCATACACTGATTTTCAAACACTTATGAAAGTATTCAGAATCCACTGAAGCAAGAAAAGAATTCCCACAGATTTGAGCATACATAATGAACTCAGAACAGCTAAAAAAGATTTACACATCAAAACTCTCCCAAGCTAGAGTTCAGCAATAAAAATAAAAAGCTAAATGAAATCAAACTATCAAACGAAAAAGAAAGGAAAGACAAAGAGGCCCTTTATCACTTCCTGCACTCGCTGGAACTAGATTTTCTGTAACAGAAACAGTATGCGTATAGACACATACTTAGTGGATAGGGCACAGTACAAATCACTAAAACTTCAAGTAGGCATCATCTTCCACATTTCTGTTTTTAATACTGTCTGGTATATCTATAAGACCTTAAGACGTTGAAAATGGAGATAGAGTTTGATGGGCCAGCCCTTAAATGTTTGATGGTTAATGTGTTCTGATGTATATAACCCAAACATATTTCTGTGGTACCTTGAGTCATTACAGAGATTCAAGCATAAGTCTAGCTAGCACAATTTGCAAAAGTATAAATGCTAAAGAGTTTAGAATTTCTTTCTTTCTTTTTTTTTTTTTTTAAAGTGCTCTTTAAAAGGCTACAAAACAGCAAAACAAGTCAGTTCTGTATTTTTTCTTCTTACTGGTATTCACAGGCCTAAGTATTTCGTTCTGTGACAACCTTTTGACTTTAATCTAAAGGATTTGCCAAGTGACAAATAAGAAAAATGCATTATTCTTTCACTTAAGGAAGAAACAAATGCGAGAAGTCTAATGTTTACTGGTGCACTTACCACCTTCTTGAAAACTTTATATGTGTCAGCAGCAGGCAGACAAAATACTGCACTTTGATATAGATAGGTAGGAGATTTCTGCCACTGAAAGATGGCACAGCAGTGCCAAGCATGATCTCATCTCTTCTGTCACACACCAATTGTCATTGCTGATATAGTTGTATATCTCCTCAGTGACTCAAATGAAGGTGATAGTTTCATGAATACACTAAAAATAGAACTGTTCTCCTGTAAGTCAGAATGAAATGTAAAAGGATAGAGCTCTTTCTCAGCTATCATCTAAACAATGTGATTTCAAGCCACAAAAACTAATATAACCTCCTTTAAAGTCCTTTCTATTTTGTTTCAGGCTGCATCACTCTGAACTGATCATTAAGGCATGCCTATTGATTTATGACCTGAAAACTTCCCATTGTATTTAAGTAAAATGTAGTGACATTTCACTTACATATGCTTAGATTGTATTTAATTAGTATGAAATTTGGAATATTCATGGTAAATGTCTTATCTGTTTCTCTCTCCTCCAAAGTAGTAGGGAAGTAAAGTTACTGTAGTTTGGTTGGTCTCTCCTTACTTTGTTAATTCCAGATAATTTCTATCCAGGTGGCAAAATTATCTGTCTATTTGTTGCATGTTGCTATTTTCTAAGATGAGTCACAGCAAATTAAGTACACTTGACTCACTACAAAGCAATTGAAATGCAAAGAACTGTATTTTGACCTGGACATAGTTGAAAACAATTTGTAAACGGTACTTTGTCTTTTGAATGACCTTTCTGCATTAACAAAAATGCAACTGAAGCATTAGACATATATTTTCACAAATCTTCTATCTGAAGTTAATTTTAAGACTCCATCTCAGAGCAGTATTGCAACTGCTTTTGAAAAGTAGACCAGTGTTACTTTTAGATGGAATTACACAAAACTTCTGGGCCCCTCTCAAATTCTGTGCTTTTTACAGTTTCTCTCCTGTGTGGCTACTGTGAGAAATACAGCAGAGTGCCAAAGTGAGAAAATATTAAACTTTCTCGTTTAGAAAATTCATCTAGTGTGAAGAACGGAAGAAATGGGCATAAATGTGGATAAATATTTTGTTTCCCAAACCATCTATTGTAAATCTTGTAACAAATAATTTCAAAAGGTTATAAATAAGAAAACAGCTATTTCAGAAATGAGCAACATGTTTATACCTAGCAGCAACTCCAAGTAATCTAGCATAGAGCTATTAAATTCACCAGCTGCCATCCACCTCAGGCAAGATCATACTTCATTTCATCTATGTAGTATAGATTGTATGTTAATATCTGCTTGAATCAAAACATGATCATTGGCAAAAGTAATCTCAACTCCTGAATTTTCCATTCAAGCTGAAATTTAAATGAAAATGTCACAACTAATAGAATGTAAATATTTGGAACAGGTAAAAACTAAACAGAAGATGAAAATGATTCAGTTTGCAGTACGAATCACAATCGTTGAACGTTAAAAATACACAAAAATATATGTATCTCTTATTCAGCAACACGCCAATGAAACAAAATGTTTTGTTCTTTATAGCACAGTAAAGACAAAGCATATCTGCTCTGAAACGGAGGTAGCGATGAAAAGCAGATGCATTCAGATAATATGCAGGTATCAGGAAATAATATGAACTTATAAATTGCTCTCCTTCAGTTTAACATACACAGAAGTATAAAAATATACCTCTGGTAAAATGTCACCTTCCTAAATAGCTGTGAGTGTAATAATATTAAGTAGAGTTTACTTTAGCTTCCTTTTGTAGGAGAGATGAATTTTGCTCTGCATTCAAGTCAAGTCTCTAAAAATAGCAAAACATAAAAGCTACAAGATTTGACTCGCCATTCCTGTCAGATGACAGTTTTTTAAGAGATCATTTGAACATTCTGGTGATGAAATGATGGTGGAGAGAAAAGTTACTTTGTTTTGCTCTACATGGCTTTACATTTTCAACAACATAGCTAGCTGCCTGCTTTGCCTACTTTTGAATGAAACAGAGACAGGAACAGTAGGATGAAAAGGAAAAAAAAAAAGTAAAAGCGTGCCCTATTATATGGAGAGCAGAGTCTTTTCTACAAGTGGAGAATTAGATATAAGTGACCAAAGAAAGCAATTCTACTTATACACTGCAACCACTACACTTTCAGAACAGGAAGGAAAACTGTTCTTATAGGTTTACTCCACTTTTACTGTTACAACTCCTGGGAATTAATTTGTTGAGAACTAGCATAATCTCAAAGTAATACAGCAGGGACTCAGGTTTAAAGCTTGCTATCGACTTTCTAAATGGAGAACTGTGAATTACTCTCCTACATGGGGAATTGTCCAAGATAACCAATAAAGTGACTGCAGAGGTACATGCTTGGCTCTATTCACGATAGTTCAAGCAAGCTAATGAGCATGGGATCACCTTAGTTATGGACACAGATGCCTAATCTTCATCTTATCTTTAAATTATTCCAACATTTCTTCCTCCAACTTCATAACAGTGAAGACCTGAGACAAGGTCAAAATCAAACGCATTTCTAAAAAAAAATGCTGAGTACATAGACACTAAAGCTCTTAGCAATTTCTGTAAACACCAGTACAGACTTCTCACACTAATAAAACAAAAACAAAAAACACCAAACAGAGTAACTATATTATTATTCTAGAAGATACATATAAATGCAAACTGCAAAAATCAAAGGAGCAGTGCAATCAATTAAATTATTTAAAAAGTCCATACAGGTACAGAGTAAAGATCCGTGAATGAACATTAAATAAGTTCAGGATATTTGTGAACACCAAAAGTGAATTTCAGCTAGTGGCAGCTGCAATTTTTCCATTATGCTCAGATTTCTATAAATTTTTAGAAGTAATTTCAAAAGCATAGGAAGGAATCCAATTTTCACAATAAGAATTCAAAATCCAGAGACTGTCTTCCTCCGGACTTGTTATTCAGAACAGTCACAACCTATACAGTGCATTCCAGAATGCACTCCAAGTTGACCCAAGGGTGAAAATCAGTGATGAACTTTCTTAACAAGCACGGAAATCTACTCCATTCCCTCTTCAATTTCAGAACTATTTTATTTCAACAGTCTTTGAAAGACACAAAAAAGAAAGGACATGCAAAGCCTGTGCTTTTACTGCTATGCAATAGAGGCACAATGAGCTGATCATTTAGGGCCTGATAGAAGCTCACCAAAGTCAATACAATCCATTCTGTTGATTTCAATGGCTTTTATACCAGGCCCTTAAATAGACTGTTAAAAATGTCTGAATGATTTTGGCTCAGTATCACCACACCCATTCAGTTTCACTGACTGGTTATTTCTTGGTGATTTGGCAAATGTGTTTATGTCTGACATAGCAGAAAATAGAAAGTTCAGAAATAGCAGTTCGTCAGTCAAAATCACTTGCCTGGTGCTTTAAAGTTAATACTATTCAACACTGGCTGGTAACTTAAGCCAGTTAAATGCTGTTGCAAATGAAAGATGAAGCATTGCATGAAGCCATGCTAAAATGGATAGAAGGATGGTTACTTACCAACGGGGCGAGCTGTTGACATTACAATGGTGTAGTGAGAACATAAAAAAGAAATTAAAAAAGAAAAGAATATCTGTCAGAATGCATGACGTGTAATGTTACGTTAAACTATGGATACTACCATGATTGCTAACCCCTCAAATGACAGCCTAAGTAAAATATTCACTATCATTTCTGTTTAGTCATATGTTACTATTACCACATTTATTTGAGCATAGTATCTGAGCAAGCTGACTGGAACCATTTTCTGAGAAACATTTTTTGTTATCTTCACATGCCATCATCAAGTATCACTGTTAGTGCCTGATAAAAGAGAAATCACTTGCATTAGAAAAAACTTTTAGATCTTGATGAACACATCAATTTAAGCTACAGACTGACAAATATCATGCCACTAGATGCAATGCATTTACTATCTGAGTCAAATATCAATTGAATTTTAAGCATGGTCAGTCACTACAGCTGTGGGGTTCACAAAAAGCCCAGGACAATTTTTCTCATTCAATAACAGGCATGAAGGCTTACAACACATTGCTTTTTCCTCACTGACAAGACTGATGAAAATATAACAAATAGGCCACAATGGCTATGGGGATTTCAACTCAGAATCTCCCAAATTACAGCTTAGGAAACTTCCACTTCCTAACAAAAAAAAAAAAAAAAAAAATTGCTGCTGAATGATTGACAGGTTAATATTGTTTCAGACTGATATCAAGACTGAAGGCTGTTACTACAACCAATGATTTCTTGATGATAGCAACAGCTGTTTATTACAGTTGTGTTGGGAGAGAGGACTGCCTGTCCCTCTGCTAATAAAATGCAGACATCCCCTTTCCCAAGAACAAAAAAGCTGGACATAAATTTGACTCAGAGTTGCCATCTGGTTACATGAAACTTCCCTTATTTTAGCAGTAGAAATAGCTACATATTTCTGAGTAATATTATTTACATATTTATTTACCTATTTATTTTAAAAGAAGATAATCAGCTCTATATCCCTACGTGCAGACTAGGGCCAAAAGCAAAAACGTGCTGATCCCTACGTAGTGCCGCATGCAAATATGGTTTTTGTTCTCAGCATTTCTGTATCTCTATCCTTACTTTGTCATATTCACTTTAATTATTTCAAGCCTACTGCCCTTTCTCAAATTTATTTTGAGACATTCTGATTTTTGGTATTATGATATATTCCTGGTCTCACAGAAAGATAAGGAATGAGTGATGTGCATCTTTCCAAGATGGAGTCTGAACACTGAATCACTGAATTCAAATTCTGTTATCATTTACAATCATGTAGCAGTTGTACAACAGTATAACAGTGAACTCCCTGACTGCATCTTCATTCATTGCTTTGAGAAGATGGAGCTGTGAGAGAGGTAGCTAAGGATTATGCTGTTGCTGCCAGGTTTGCAGTCAAAACTGCAGAAAAAACCACACACAAGGACCAAGGACCTTCAAAGTGAATTTTCAAGTGCTAAATGACTTTCTCCTTCACATGAAGGATGATTTTGTTAAAATCAATTTCAGATGAAATTAGTGAAAGTTTAAGAATTCAGAATTAAATCTTTTAACTAAAAGTAACACCATATGTGGTCCCTTTTAAGTCAACAGGAGTTTTATCCAGTACTTTGCTTCCAGGAAATACAGACTAATAACATTTCTTCACTGAATTTCTTAGCTTTTCTCATTTCCTGTTACCCTGAACATTTAATAAGCTTATATCATCATGGCTTCCTTTATGTTGGATAAACACTGTGTATTCGAATGTAAATCGCAAATCTAAGGGGAGAGTCGTACCCAAGATAACGAAAGCCTACTTTTACTGTAGGAAAATCAATTAAATTATATGTTTTGTTTGTTTGTTTGTTTGTTTCACCTTAATTTGATCAAGTTCACACTTCAGTGATTTCAAAGGATTTTTTTTGCTTGTTTCTAGTTATTGTTCATATTACAAGTCTATAATATATAAATATTAAAAGCCTGCTTCAGTGATGCATACATTAGATACAGATCTAGGCATGTTTAAAGGCTACTAAATTTGTTGCTAGATATATTGGATATCATGATTCTGCCTGTGACAAAGGAGCAGATTTAGAGCATTTCTTGGAGTTCAGTGTAGTGACTATTTTTCTCACATTACAAATGGAAAAACAATCTCTAACACAAACATGTAACAGGTTAACCTACTTCTTCAGATGAAAACAGGAAGATCTACATTACCACATATTACCTGGAGCAAACACTGAGGTAATATTTCAGCAAATGAATTATCACAATATTCTCTTTTCTTTGTTATATACTAACATCTCCCCCTCTGCAAAGCCATTTGGTGCTTTTTTGCCCTTTGAATTCAGCAAATTAAACTGAACTGTGTCCATGCATTAAATGGATGGAAATGGAAGCTGGCCTCTTGGGTCAGTTGACCCCTGTTCTAATAAAGCAATCCACTGAGACTTTGAACGTTTGATTTAACGTGTATGAAAAGAGAAGCACAGATAAAGCCAAAAATGTTTTTATTAACCTTTCACAGCTCTACTGAAAACTGTCAGCATGCACCACTAAACTGTGAAATAGTATCACCATGATATCCATTGTACCAAATCGTAGCTTATCTTTTGGAATGAAGAAATAACTATCATATTCTATTTACTAATACAGAAATATTGTCCCACAAACTTTATTTCTCTCTATAATCTTTGGCATGTCCATATCTACCGTCACAAAATACATTTGGGCAGCTCATTGTTCTGCTGGCGTTAAAACCTTTTTATCATATCAAATAGCACCCCATAAACAATGAGTGGATACTAAGGACTGGGAGATATTTTAAGAGAGAATACATTAGGTTTTTTATCATGTATTACTTACAAAATTTAATTAAGATTTTCTTTAACCTTTGACTGAGATTTATCTTACAAGTAAAGAATAACAGCAGGGAGTTCAGTTATGGTAGAGCTAATAATTCCATTATACTATGTGCATTACGTTTGACATTTGTAAACACAGTGCACTCCTTATATTTATTAGGGAATAGAACCATAATAACAACAATTTAAACTGAATTTTTACTTATGAAAGAGTGTCCGGGTAGTTTGTTACTGCTTGCTTATGAAAACGTATGCATCTATTCTTTAATAAAAAATATTAGAACAGATCATTAACTGCTGTGAGATCTTATCCTACTAAAATCAACTAGAATTTTGCCACAGATATCAATGGGAGCAGGATTTCAGATTTGTAGTAAATCAGTAGAGCACCAACAACTGCACAGGATGTGTGAAAACCAAACACAGCAGGTAAGGATTTGGCTCATTTTGCCAGAAAGCCATTGATTCATTCAGGACACAAGATCTCTCTCCATAGGAACACTCACCTCGCACAGTAAGGGTAGCAGATGCTTCCACTTTTCCAACTCGATTCTCAGCAATGCATGTGTAGGTGCCTTCATCTGTGCTCATAGCCTTCTTGATGCGCAAAGTGTAGTCATCTTTAATGTCATACCTGCGTTGCAAAAAAAAGAATGAAAATATTTTGTAGCCGACAGGAATGTACAGAAACTCTTATCTGGGATATGCTAGGCTGATTCTATCTTGGATTCAACTTTTGAAGATAAATTATTACCTAACACTAGATAATTCCACCAAGCATTAATCTTTGTGACATTTTTATTGCACTCTGCATTAGTTAGAAACTTTACATAAAATTAGTATTTCTGTGCTCACTCAGTATAAGGGTTTTATTAATATCTTGCACTTCATCTTTGATCTAGAGTAATGTGATAAAATTAAGCTATCAGACATCAATTATCAATAAATGACAGCTCAGGTTTCTCACACCTTTGGCTTTGTGAGATACATATTTTATATTTAGCTGATTTGGAATTTTTCCTTTATAAGTAGTTCTTCACTATAGCAGCAACCCCTTAGGAAAACTATGCATGTTGGTAGATTCTGACACTATAATATTATAAACAATAAAAATATATTTAAGTTCTGGAAGGTGAACATTTATGGAAAAGGCATATTAAAGAAGATTCATCAATTTCACAGAAATACTACAGAGTGATTCATTAAGAGTGAACAATTACATTCTCTTTCTTCAAATAAATTTGGAAGATTTCAATTATGTCAATTTTTTTGCTTCTACTGTTGTAATAACTGTAGAATTATGAGAATGTGTAAAATTTGAAAAAATAATGTAAGACAGCAGGCCGTGAGCATTCATTCACAAGGCATTCACAGTGGCTCAATCAAAAAAAATAGAAAAATATTATCTGTTAAATAGTTACCAGCCCGCAAAAGTCTAGCTTAAAAACTATTTTAGGCTCTGATCCAACCTCATTAAGTCAACAGGATACTTTATCTTGTATGAAATTTATTTGTCTCCTGAATCAGGAAAACACCAGTTTTCAGCATAGACATTTTGCTCTTGAAATACCCTCTTGAAAATTACTTTCAACAACATTTCTTCTAGACACACACTAATGATATCTTAACTAAGATCGAGATTTAGCTTCATATTTTCATGCATCAAATAGTGAAAAAGGCACATGAGAATAAAGAAAGATCTAGATCTCAAGAGATGTCAGTAAATGTTTACTACATAACTTCAGAAAAACTAATTTACCTTCTCTTTGTCAAACAGTAAAGACCCTGCCTGCAAGCTTGTTCAGCAAACATACTGAAATGATAGAGAAGAGCGTGCTTACATGTTTTAATGGGTAAGAATGTAATGCTATCATTTATTGGAATGTTGTGAAAATCTTTATGAGTATTTTTAAATGCTTCAGGAGCATCACGTGTACAAAATATGCATCATCTTATTCTTCTTTATTATAACTTTGAAGCAAGAGTATTGTATGCTAATAGACACAAAAGTATCTTCACTCAAAGAGCCCTATATGCTGAAATGTTTAAAGTTCTGCTATGCCTAAGGAGAGCCCATGACAACATCAATAAGATTAACTTTGTTTCACGAACAAAGAGAAGTCAAAGCATCTTCTTATACTCATCACAATGCACTACAGTTTCATTCTATACTCAGTAAGTCCATTCTAGTCATTCGCCATGAATTCAAAAAAACTATGGCTAACTGTTCTGTCAGAAAAAACAAAACAAAACAAAAAAAAAACAGATCACATCCCTTTCATTAGGAGTTCCACTTAACTGTACATGTTTCCTGTATGTCAGATTTAACTAATGAACAAGAGATATGTCAGTAGGAATACGTAGTCAGAAACTTCTAGGGAGTATTTTTTTCTAGCACAGTACTACTGAATGACATAACCAACTTAATGACAATAGAAAACTTAACATGTATTTTCTGGATTGGTTCAGAGCTGTTCAGCTACTCATTCCAAAGCCATAAGCAGCTGAGGCACATTTCATCCTGACTGTACACAAATTATGGAGTTCTGCATTCTGTGCTGCTCTTGTCAGTGGCAAATAGAACCACTGTTTTCATAATTGAGAAAAGGCAAATGGTCTCCTCTAAAAATCTCAAGAATATGACATCATATCCCACAACAATGGAGTAGTTATTTATCCTTGGCCACCACAGAGATCGCAGACAAAAGAATTTGTTTATTTTCTTGACACACAGCCATCTGTAGGGGACTGAAAATATGAAGTGGTACTCACCTCTTGCGAGATGACAAAACTAAGATCAGCTGTAATGAAAATATGAGTTGGATATAGGAATCACGTTTATAAAGCTGGGCAACAATTAGACACTAATTTTGTTACAATGGCTTTAAAAAAAAAAATAAAATGAAAGAAAGAAAAGATAAATAACATCCCTGTGGTTCACTTAACCACTCGTACCACTGCTGAGATAAAACCAGACAGGCAACAGGGCTGTATCTGATTGGCTGGCTGCTTAAACTGGGATGCAGGCAGCCTGGGACAGGGCCCGACAGTCTGCCGTGGGCTGCAGCTGACTCGTTCTTCATTTCACCGATGCGCTGGTGCTGATATGCCAGCCAGCTGCCTTGGAGGCTTCAGCAGTCTTTATGCTTGCACCTGCCAATCATGCAAATTGTGCAAAGGCTGCTGGGGGAAAAAGCCAGCTGCATGGCATGCCAGGACGCAGAGAGGGAGCACAGCCATAATCTCCCACGTGGATTGTGAAATGCAGGAAGCAGTAAATGTGTCACTGTCATGGCACAGTTATCAATTACTTCAAGGAGCGGACCTGCTCTCCTAGTCTGCTTCTCCAACAAGACCATACTGAGTTTTTGGACCACCATGGCAGAACATGCCGTCTAGCAATTGGAATCATCCACAGATGGGCCCATGGGATAGCATAACCATCTGCTGTCCTGAAGTACTGATATGCTGCCCCTCAGTCATCTGATCCTCTCACACTGTCCCTAGAAGTCACCACGGTTCAGTGAAGAGCTTTGACAGATGAAGCAGGCAGGAAGGAATAAGAAGAAAACTGGCTTCTAGCTTTAGTTGATCTATGCATAGTAGCTCAAAGAGCTTGTGTGAGAAAGGTGCCATGAAATAACAAAGTGAGAAGGCTGAACGTGGTTGTACCTTCTAAGTTTCTCGAGCAAAATCTAGAATAGTGTTTGATCTCCTCTCAATCCAGAGCTTCCTATGCCCTCAACAAGATGTTTCCATCTGAGTTTCTGGAGAAGTTCAATCCCATCTGGATCAGTTCCAAGCTGACACTTAGGAATTGGGCTCAAGGCCTCTTTGATTGTCAGTGCTGCTCAGACAGAGGTGGCCAGACTTCTGGATTGATGGTGGGGCAGCAGAAAACCAAAGTGTACCAGTTATGCTGGTGTGCTAAGAAGGCAGTGTCTTCAAAATATGTGCAATGTCAAGAAACACCTTCCCACATACTACCCTAATATTGCAGTCTCTTAGCCAAGTAATGCCAACATTCTGCACAAAATGTAGGGTGTCAGACATCTGCTGCATATGTTTATGGACATCTAATTGATTTTAAATACTTCCCTTTGTTAAACATTTGGAGGTGCTTAACCTTTCAGTTTAGCTGAAACTTCAGCCATCAAATTGCTCTGAAAGAGGTCTTTGGAACAGCTAGTCCCAGTGTTAAAAAACCCAGCCACTTTTGGGTGTTGTGTTACATAACTTCTGCTATGAACAAGTAATAGCTCACATAGATCTGTCTTTAATTAACTAAAAGGAAGGGGGCCAGGGGATTGGAAAGGAAGAAAGAAACAGAGAAAACAACAAGCAGATGAGAAAACACTGCTGGTGAGGAAATTCTAATAGAAATTGGGTGATTTTGAGTGAAATCTGGCAGTCTCTGGCACATATGAATACATTCATTGTTGCTAGTTTTGATTAATGACAGTTGTACAATAGTGTGCTGACAGTCACTGCCATACAGTCACTTTTTTTTTTTTTATATGAAACACTGTTGAAAATGCAACCCAATCAGATTTGGCCCCTGAACAACATGTGCTATCATCACTGTACCGTGAATTGAGATTGATTGGTAACCAGCTGTGACAAAGTGGGAAAAAGAGCCTTGTCTTTTTCAAGAAAAGAAAAGAAAAAAAATAATTAAAAAAATCTGATTTGTGTCAAAACCATTACCATCTGCTCAACCAAATAACAAATAAAACAAAACACATTAACTGTTTTTAACTATCACAAATTAAAATACTGAGGTTGGATTCATGCACTGGCTTAAGGACCTAAGAATAATCTTGAATTACACTGGTTTTGTTGCAGTTTGCAGGGTTTCTTTTTTACATATTCAAAAGTGTATTTGTCCCTATTCAGCCACCAATCTTCCATGGCTATCTAATAAAAGAGAGCGAGAGAGAGATAGAGATAGAGAATAAGAGAATTCAGTGAAGTTAAAGAGATTTAACAGTATGCTTTTTGCATTTGATATACATTCTACTGAGTGCTTCATAGAACCCTCAAATTTCCAGATTTTAACAATTGTGCAGGCAGTTATGCATGAAAATATGTGCTTCTTTGTCTTTTGCATGCACAGGTAGCACAGCTGTGTGTGCAGATGGAGTCATTACATTCTTAGATATCCAGCTAGTGATACACTTTCTTCATCTGTGCATTTTAAAGTTAGGAGATTGTAGTACTATTTTCAATAAATTCAACAAATTCAAATAAAAAAAGAAGATATTCTTCCTGCTGAAGGGAGAACGCAATAGTCACATCTTAATTGCTGTGAACTGATGTCACTGGCCTCAAAAAATTACATCAATGTATATCAGGCACTTATTTTCTTTGTATTTAAGTTTTGTAGGGCTTCCTTTTTTTTTTTTTTTTTTTTTTTTTTTCCCCTTTTCTTTCTTTTTTCTTTCCTTGCAATACATGCATACAAAACTTGAAGATTACTCACAATACTAAAGAGAGACACTACTGGCCCAAAACAGTGAACATGATGGAGTTAAGCAGGCTTAAACTTCCATCTCCACTTCTCCTTTATGGTTCTGGCACTTTGCTTTCCAGCATAGTGCCACAGCTTTTCACTAGCTCCAGAAGCCAGAGAGA